ACGAAGTTTAGAATTTAAGGAAGACTAATTAAAACAAATTGCCATTAAAATATTCACATTATAACTTAAGATATTGTAACATTTTTTTATAATTAATATATTAAATTATTTCTAATGCCTTTACCCCTGTGGATAATACGCCGATGGTCATGTTTACGATTAGAAAATTTTATTGAAAACTACCGAAACATGACATAAGAATCTACCTACCTACTTATTTAGAGACGCCGGTTTGGCTAATTCTTAGTTAATCCTTTTCAGGGTTCTTTTTCATAAATTCGGTAAATATCTTCGGGGGCACGATGTGATGTTTTTTCCACAATAACCTAATCCAAGTCAATTTATATTTTATCACGTTTCTAGGTAGAAATGTCGAGGATGACCATTCTAGTTTTCTGGTTTGTGTTGAAGCGTATCTTCCAGTCGTTGATTACTCTTGCTAGCTTTACTTTGCAGTTTCTTCCTCTTCTGAATCCAAACTAGTCCTTCTTCTCCTAGTAGAGGAGTGATCTTGGCATGCTTCCAGTTGTTCGGAAAACGCGGTTTTTTCAGATAGTATTTGAAGATACAGTAGAGTTGCACTACACTGTTATTTTCTTTGGTAATTCCTTGATAGCTATGTTGTGGATTGCTTGCGTACCTGATGCTCTGCTTTATTTTAATCTTCTAATGATTTTGGCTACTTTTGTTAAGTTAATAGTCTTCTTCCTCTACTAAAAATTCGTTTTCTTTTTTTTTATTTTTTCGTATTCTGTGTTGACCTCCTCGATGGTTTTTGCACCCGACATGTTTTGGTTTTGCCTTGTGTTGTCATTTTTCTTGCAATTGCTTCCAACTTTTCTTGGGTTTTTTCCTCTTCGTTTGGCCTTCAGCTTTTTCCACACGTTTCCATAATTTATTTCTGCTTACTTAATGTTGTTGTTGCACTTGTTTTCTGTGAGACTCCTATTGTTATTATTAGAAGTATTATTATTAGAGTTTTTTTAGGATTATTCTTATGTCTTCGAAAGTTCGTCTTCATACTCCTTAAACTCTTCTCTTCTTGTTCTTTTGAATGCTCTGCTGGCCTGTTTCTGTCCTTGATGATTTCCTTGTCTCCTTTGGCCTTTCTTAAGTAAGCTAGTAACACTTTATAGTCTTTAACTAAATAAGTTAAAGAGGGGAGAAATATTTGTCTCAAGTTGGTCATTCAGAATTATATTTGTATTTTTAAAATTTTTAATTTCCACATTTTCTAATAATAATAGCTTAATAAAGATGAGATGATGAATTGTGTATGGTCGTTTCAATATGGGTAGGTTTAAGGAATACGGAAAACTTATGTTTGTTTTCAAGTTTAATAATGCTTAAATTTAGAAAATTTATGAATTGATTCTGGTCTGTTGCTATTGTAAATTCAATATGACTATGAAATGAATTAATATACAATACAAATCGGTCGAGTTACCTGTTAGTTCCCGTAAAGCTACAAGTACATCGTCTACGTATCTCCAGCAATATAAAAGCTGTTCGAATACGAGATGTTTTAAAATCTTTATTTCTAGGTAGTACTAAGTAGGGTCATCAAAGATAGAAAATTGCTAAAGACTGTTTAACACCGAAAAATGTCTTACCTGGGACATATAGTAAGGGGAAATCGATATAGAGTAATACAAATGATTCTTAAAGGCAAAATATAAGGCCGTAGAAAATTAAGAAGAAAACAGGTTTCTTGTTTAAGTTTAAAAATTATTCGTGAATGGACTGAGATATCAAATGCAGGACAATGATTACATGTGAAGAAGCCTTCGTAATGTTGGTCACCAACGTCGGATAACTCTGATATGACACGTAAAGAAGAAATATATATATATATATATATATATATTATATATATATATATATATATGTATATATATATATGTATATATATATATATATATATATATATATATATATATATATATATATATATGTATATATATATATATATATAATATATATATATATATATGTATATATATATATATATATATATATATATATATATATATATATATATATATATATATATATATATATATGAATGTATGGCTTGTAGCTTGTTTTCAATAATCTCAAAATCATTTAAAATTATTGTCAGATTTTGGTGTTCTTTTTCGAACATACAAGTTGCTTTAATTTCGTAATAGAAAAACGAGTGAATAACACTAATTTAAAAATAATCTAATCTCCACAAATTTGAGTGATTTATACAACTTTATCATTTTACTGGTAATTTTGCTAATTATAAGGAGGCATTTGCCAAACTACTTCTAATTATATTAAAAATGTAACTTTAAGTTTCTTTGGCGGTTGAACTTCTTATAATGCGATATTCGAGTGCTTTACAAGAATAAGAAAACTGTGATATCTGAATAAAACAAGTTAATCTTCTTCTTATAAAACATTAATTACAGTTTTGATATTTTTACGCATTTCCTTGTAAAAGGAATACTGGTACAGAATATTACTGGAAATATATAGAGTAAAGGCACCAAGTTTGAGACATTTTTTTTTGAAAAACAAATATAAAACAGAACATTCAAAAGTTTTAAAAATATTTACATATTTCCAAAACTTAAATTTGTTGTTTTTAGAATACAAAAAAAATATAAAGCGAATTAAACATATATATTTTCAAACAAATACATTTAATTTTTTTGCAACATTTAATATTAAAAATAAGAGGTGGCCTAATTTGGGGTAGCCGGGTATCCAATTTAAAAAAGCCCTTTCCTTCACATAAAAGACAAATAAATGTGCTGGACTTCTCCACAGTCTTCAGGTGCCTACCTTCCACACTGGTAATACTTTGCCCATTGTTCGCCATATCTATCGTCGGAAAATTTTCCGGTACAAAATAGACATTCAGCGTAGTTTTCTTTACTTTCGCCGAACGGTGAATCAGCTAATGAAAGGTCTTCAATGCTGTCTGAGCTTGAACTTGAAGAAATTTTTCGTTTTATTTTTGATGTTTTGCCTTTTGATGTGAAGGTCTTCTACGTCTTCATGTACTGCTATTTCTTCTTCGAGCGTTGCTCTTTTTTTGATCTAACACTTTTTGTTAAATTGTTGTTTTCTTCAGCTAATACATAATCCAAGTTTTTCTGGGGAATTAGTTTTTTAGTTTTTTTTTGTTCTGCATAATTTTCTCTAATTCTTTTTTGTATGATGTTAAAGTAATAAATAAAGGCTTTTCTGATCTGGAATGTGATTTTTTAGTAGTATCTCTGTTGTATGTAGTGATTGGACAGATGTCTTTCGTAGAAACAAGTTGTTTATAAGGCATTGGTGGACTAGGTGTTCTATGTTCTCGCATTGGATAATTTGGTTGTTTATGGTTTGGTTCTATTATTTGTTCGTCTATTTCGTTTTGTGTTTCCAAGTGCTCTTGAATTCCAAATTCAAGGTTCCTAAAAATACGGCGACAAATAGGGACTAGCCCAGTTTATCGAAAACCATTGCAAGATATTTCCAACGTCGCAGATCTTTTATACGCTGTACAAAAAAATACTGGCAACGGCATAAGGCGACACAACACCATAAAAGCAACATCCAACGGTTGCGTCTTATCTGTAGAATGTGGTGATTATCAAGGACTAGAAGAACAGGGCCTTCAGCTTAAGGTTTAGTGAATTTTATGAAGCCGTCTAGTCAAAATATGGGCCTGTGCCCAACCCGACACGTGACATTCTGCCCCTGCTCCAGTGGGAGCTCCTAGCATCAAATCTGTTTTCATATTTTTTCTAAGGAAGATTAATAATGGTGGTACGAAAACTCCTGCAGCATTCATATATAACAGTAATCTGCTTGCACCTTTCTGCTGAAGAAAATGACAAAACCTGCTTCGTTCTTCTTATAAAAAATACTTTGCTATAGTGTGCTGAAAAATTGTAAGGCCTCTTTGGTCCACATTGAATATACATTGTGCAGGGTTAATAGGTTAGTAGCTTAAGATATTCTGGTTCATACAGGTTAAAGATCTTGTATACATTTTCAGTAGTAAATGATTTTATCCAAGCAGATGATATTCTCTGAGGAGTACGCATTGAAAGCGTCGGATGCCTGTTCAGAAAGAGTCGCAGCCATTTCTTTCCGGCTGATTTTTTGATTCAGCTAAATGGATGTGGTATTAAGTTTCGTATTGCAAGTTAAAAAGCCAGTCGTTTTATATAACGCGCTCTTAGTCCAAAATAACGTTGTTACATAATTAGGGCATACTCAAATAGCTCATTTTCTAATTCCAAAGGAAGAATAGGTCGGCGGCTAATTGATATTATGACGAGTTCCGACGAGAGGTACTAAGGTATCTTTTGGTACTCCAAAAACTTTTAAGGCCTTCAAATTGCCCATCTCTGTATTTCTTACAGCACGTATCATATTAATTGCGTTTCATTTTTTATTTTTTGGTGGCATCTAAAAACAAATAAATACATAAAAATAAAAATTTTACACGGGATCCTAATTTGAGATACTCTCAAATTTGGAAACTACAGGTATCTCAAATTCAGACCAATAATGACGTACACGGCAGAAACAAGACCTGACACAGAGATGACAAAAAGGATGTTAGAAACAGCCGAGATGAAAACACTTAGAAAAATTTATGGTAAGGCACTATGGGACAGAGCTAGAAGTACAGATATACGACATATATGCAAGGTGAAGAACATCAAAAACTGGGTAAGAAATAGAAGAGTAGAATGGAAAGATCATATAAGTCGAATGACAACAAATAGAGTAGTAAAGACGGCAAGAGACGGTTCCCCAATAGGAAGACGATCAGCAGGAAGACCACGAAAACGATGGAATGACAACTTACTATAGGCACATTGAAAAACAGACAGAGTCATGTCTATATTAAAAGAAGAAGACAAAAAAGAAGAAGAAGGTATCTCAAGTTAGGATTTTTCCATTAAAAAAGGAATGTATTTTTGTTGGGTATGCATGCCATACAATTACCGTTTAATTAGGATAAAATGTATTGGTTATTGGTTTTTACATCTTCGTGGTAACTATAAAACATCATTTTACAATTTTGTCGCTGCTATACCCCCTGGATTGGTGATGCTTCTTCCCAAATTATCTTTATTGATTTGCGTTTGTGGCTTTAACACTTTGATTACTATTTAACTGGGAATAAGCCACAATTAAAGATAAAAATACGTTTATTGACGTTTCAATTTCCATTTCGGAAATCGTTCAGAACGATTTCCGAAGTGGAAATTGAAATGTCAATAAACGTATAATTATCTTTAATTATGGCTTATTTCCAGTTAAATAGTAATTAATTTACAATGCTACAAGAAAATAGCTTCAGAACAATTTTAACTTTTTGGTTAAGTATTTTACTTTGGCAAGTTTATCTTGATTGTTGGTGGTCAGGGTACTCTTCTAGCTGTTTGTGTATTTACAACAGCTTCTAAATGAAGAGGCGTATACAAAATGCAGAAGATTGTCCCATTTTGTCACCAATATTCGGCGATGCTATCTAAAATTTGTGGAGTCCTCATAAATATCTCCCTACCTTATTCCAAATATGTTGTATACGATTTAAATCTGAACTCCAAACATGCCACAATAATTATCGTGATGATTTCAATATCTTCAAGATACTCAATAACTATCTGAACAGTATACTGGCATACATTAACATGCATAAATATCTCCAAGAATAATCATAAACGGTGACACATATTCTTCTAGAACCTTTCTTAAGCGTCTATCTATAGATAAAGACAAAGTCCATATGAGCGTCAAAAATATGTCTCTCCATACCACCGTTAATTGTCCCCCAAGCCACTCGGTAAAAAACTCAAAAGAAATGTTCGCTTGAGCATTTTTCTCACCTGGCCGTCACCACACTCTTATACTTTAATCTGGTTATCCGATCTTGTAAGACAAAATCTTTGATTGATCAGAAATCCATACATGACTTGTCTGTCAAGTAATCTCGTGCCAAAATCAATCTGGCAATATGATGGTTACGAAAAAGCGGCGATCCAGTAGGTCTTCTTTAAGAAATCAAACTAGCAGCATGAAGTCGTTTCCAAACTGCCCACTTACTAATGTTTTTTCACTTTCATTTCTTGCAGATTATTTTGAAAATAAGAGAAATAGGCATAACCGTTGCGTTTTTTAAAATACTAAAAACGATAAAACGGTCACCTCTAGCTCCTGTAGTCATATATTGCACTGAACTACATCTTCGATTCAGCATACTAGTTACATCTAACTGCCTTTATACTCGCTGCATACTCGAGAGTCTTATACTAACGTTTCTTGTAGTTTCCCGCTGAGGACTGCCACACCCTAAATGTGCTAAAATTCTTGCCGCAATAACAGAATTTATGCTCATTGCAATACAATAACATTTTACCATCGACAGACACACAGAAAAAAAATATGCTGATAATGATTTTTTGAAAATCGAGTCAGGCACCATTTTTTTATCAAACGCTTATAAAGACTACAACAACTTTTTTCAGGCAAAATAAAATAATTAGCAAACTATGTTACAACTGAAAAAAAAATAAGAAAATTTTCTAAAATTTTTTTTGACGTAATTTTTAAAAATCACTTGTTATAAATATTGTTTTTATTTTTAATCAATATTCGTATTTATTTTTAAAAAGCTTACCTAATTTAATAAGCTATTCTAGCATATACTTACTGATAAATTTTTTTCAGGAGCCCAACACCAGATCTAGAGTATTTTTCCATACGTCCTGGTCTTGGTTTGGAGAAGCCAATGATTGAAGACTTTGAAGAAGACTTCGATTTGAGAAGTGTTATCATTAGCTATCATCCTGGAAGAAAATATAAGAGCTTCAATAGTTCCGAGACATTAGCTAGATTTTGCAGAGAGGTCTCAGATGACGCGATCAGCAAGAATATTTCGATTATATTAACTAATCTTCTAAAAAACTACGAGAGTAGTGAGTTACCCACTCATGGCAATAGTAAGTCTAAATTTTAATATATAGATTCTTTGGTACAGCAAATATCAGTTATGGTGAAGGTGGTCACACAGTTTTTAAGAGGATATATTTCAGCAGAATTATGTTGAAGTAAATCGTGTCAATAAATTAGAGGTGGGTGAAAATGTCATCTAAATAGCAGATAACGCTAACACTCAGCAGTAACTAATTTCTTGCAGGTACTTCAGTGAAGAAAGTCAAGCTTTTGATCGTTTCACCAGTTGGACGAGTCTAATGACTCGTCCGTTGATCGTTGTCGTTAACAAGAGCTCTTAAACAGTGGAAAATTGATGCACGTTGCCTGTAGATGCGATAATATATGGTGGGAATTATCATCATCATTAGTCAGCCAATCGCGTCCACTGCTGGACATAGGCCTCCCTCAGTTCTCTTCAGTGTTCTCTACACTGGGCCGCTTGTAGCCAGTTTCCCGCTACACGTTTAATGTCATCGGTCCATCTAGTCGGTGGTCGTCCTCGGCTTCTTTTATAATTTTTGGGCCTCCATTCCATAATACGTCTTGTACACCGTCCATCTTGTGTTCTGGCTAAGTGCCCTGCCCAGTTCCACTTAAGCGTCGTGGTTCTTTCGATGACGTCTTGAACTCCTGATCTTCGCCTGATTTGTTGGTTTGTTATGTGGTCTCGAAGGCTCACGTTCAGCATTGCACGTTCCATGGCTCGTTGTGTAACTCTAAGTTTATTCGCAGATTTTTGGGTGAGTGTTAAAGTCTCTGCTCCATAAGTTTGTACAGGTAAAACACATTGGTTATAAACCTTTCGCTTGAGACACATGGGAATTGAACTTTTTAGAATATGGCTTAATTTGACAAATGCTGCCCATGTTAGACCTATTCGCCTTTGTATTTCATGTGTTTGATTGTCTCTGCTTATTTTGATTTCGTGTCCCAGATATTTGTAAGTGTCTGTTTGTTGTATGGTATTATTGTCAATAGTTATATTTCCACTCATTACGAGATTTGTTATAATTTTAGTTTTCTCAAAGTTTATCTTTAATCCTGCTCTTTCAGACAGACTTTTAAGCGAATGCATCAGAGAAACTGTATCATGTAAGTTATCTGCGATTAATACAACATCATCTGCAAACCTTAGGTGATTTAATCTTTCTCCATCTATATTGATGTCCATATCTTGCCATTGAGTACCCTTAAATATTGACTCTAGAGCTGCCGTGAACAATTTTGGTGAAATATTGTCTCCTTGTCTAACTCCTCGATCTAAGCTGAATTTTTCTGTGTCTTCGTGCAGTCGTATACTTGATGTAGCGTTCTGATAGATGTTTTTGATTAGTGTCGTGTACCTGTAATCTATTCGGCTTTGATTTAGGGCTTCCAGTATTTTTTCAAACTCTACAGAATCAAAAGCCTTCTCGTAATCGACAAATGCAAGAACCAGTGGTATGTTGTACTCGATGCACTTTTCTATTAAGATCTTTATGGTATGCAAATGGTCATTTGTGCCATATCCTGCCCTGAAGCCTGCCTGTTCTTTGGGCTGATAGAAATCAAGTTTAGGTGTTTGCCTCTTTATTAAGATTTTCATAAAGAGTTTGTACATATGTGTCAAGAGGCTGATATGTCTATAATTTTCTAATTTAGTAATATCGCCTTTTTTTGTGTAACAAGACTATTACTGCATTGTTCCAGTCTTTTGGAATCATACCCGCATGTAAGAAACAGTTCGCTTACTGATTTTAATAAAATTTCTCCACCTGCTTTTATTGCCTCGATAACGAGTCCATCATCACCAGGCGATCGATAGTTCTTCATTTCCTTTAAAGCTGCTCTTACTTCTGACACAGTAATGGGTAAAAGTATTTCCGATCCCTGATTTATGAGAGTCTTTACTCGTGTCGGGAAATTGTCTTGTGGTCTTTGGCTGGTATAGAGGTCTTTATAAAATTCTCTAGTTATTTTCAGAATGTTTTGTTTATCTGTTGTTGCCTTTCCGTCTTTATCTCTCAGCTTGTATATTTCTTTTTTACTTTGCGTAAGTTTTCTTTTCATTATCTTTAAACCTTTGTTCTCTTCTACTGTTTGAGTAATTACATTAGTATTATATCTTCTTACATCTTTTCTAATTTCCGCTGAAATTCTTTTATTTAGTTTTTTATATTCTTCTTTGTTTCCCTTTTCGTTCTCACTTAGGTTTCGTCGTATTTCCATGAGAGCCCTTGTATCTTTGCTAATCTTTTCACTTTTGGTGTCATTTTTCTTGCAAAATTTGAGTTGTGCGTTTCTAACTGAGTCTGTTATTAATTTATTGTGATCGTGGATACTTAGAGGTTTGGGATTATTACTCTGTAAAGTTTCGGCTATATTTCTTATGTATGCTTCTGGAAAGAACCACGACGCTTAAGTGGAACTGGGCAGGGCACTTAGTCAGAACACAAGATGGACGGTGGACAAGACGTATTATGGAATGGAGGCCCAGAAATTATAAAAGAAGCCGAGGACGACCACCGACTAGATGGACCGATGACATTAAATGTGTAACGGGAAACTGGCTACAAGCGGCCCAATGTAGAGAACACTGGAAAGAACTGAGGGAGGCCTATGTCCAGCAGTGGACGCGATTGGCTGATTGATGATGATGATGCTTCTGGATGATTTGGTGAATTCCAAACTATGTGTTTACAACTGTTTATCATCTTTGCTCTTTCTTTTTGTAGATTGATCGTTACTCTAGCTCTTACTGGTCTGTGGTCGCTTCCTACTGATAGTTTATTGAGTACAGTGACATCTTGAATAATTTGCTTTTTGTCTGTTATTATATAATCATATTCGCTCTTAGTTCTTTCGTCTGGACTAGCCCACGTCCATTTTCTATTCTGTTTCTTCTTAAAAAAGGTGTTCATTGCATACAGTTTGTGTTGCAGTAGAAAATTGGTAAGCATTTCGCCTCTTTCGTTTCTTACTCCGACTCCAAAATCTCCGATTGCCACTTCTTGTTCGTCTTTTTTCCTTCCGAGTTTCCCGTTAAAATCTCCCATTATCAGAGTGTAATGAGCCGGTTCCTGCATTTTTGCTCTTTCGATTTCCTCATAGAAGGCTTCGACAATTTCATCTTCGTAATCGCTGGTGGGGGCGTATACCTGGATTATTTTCAGATTGTATCTCTTATTTAGTCTTAGATTTATATACATAACTCTTGGGGAAATGCAGTCAATGCTCTGTATATTTTTCTGTAATTTTTTGTGTACTAATAAACCTATTCCTCCAGTTGTCGATTCCGTTTCCCCTTTATAGTGGAATATGTTTCCTGATTTTAGTTTGACCTGATCTTCACCTCTTCTTTTGACTTCGCTAATTCCTATAATATCCCATTTCCCATGTTTGAGTTCTTCCTCCAGTTCTGTCATTTTTCATCCTTAGATAAAGTTCTTACATTATACGTAATTATGTGCAACGTTCGTCGTTCTCGGTAGCCTCTTACATCCCGAGGATTCTTCGCACTCTCTACCCGCTGTCCGTGAGTCCTACCGCTACCTTGGTCGGACTCTAGCGAGCTGCCGGGGACTGAGGGCCGTTTTCTTGAATGTCTGTTCATGCTGAGGGGGTTTTGGCATTTAAACACCATGCTTGCCAGGCGGGTTGGTGAGTTGGTTTGGGAAATTGTTAGGATAGTAGGTATTGGGTAGCAATGGGGTTAGGACATGATTTCTCTCCACAGGAGTTGAGAGAGAATCAAGGCTTGCGTAGGGCAGGATCGCATCCCTGAAGTAAGTCTATCCTCCACTGGGATTGTGGAAGAGTACCTACCCGCTACCCGCCATATGGTGGGAATTATACTTCGCACTAACTATGAAAGGGATAAAAATGTATATGGGTCAATTTTACTGTTTTGTGTTGGGTTATTAAGCAAGTACTCAAGTTTTCACTAATGATAGTGTGAAAGGACTGAAAACATTTTGAACAATTTTAATCTGTTTGGATTTTTTATGTTTAATATTTTTTTAAACAAATATATTAAACTCATTCGATTATATGGCAAAAATCGATTAAATGTATGAATATACGTAGGTATAGAACATCTACGATTAAGAATTAATTGTAACTTGGAGTATAAACGGTCCCAAGAAAATGATATTACCGGTATTACACCATTTAAGTAAATCCTCGAGATATGTTCTGAAAGTCAGCAGACCGCCCAAAACTTGTCTCGTAATATTAGAAAATGTTCTTGGTAATAATTATTATAACTGAAATTATGATAAATGTTACGATTTTCTTGATTTTCTTGTTAAATTTGTAATTACCAAGAATATAATTGCATGATCATGTTATAGGGGTAAAGGTCCATCTCTTTCCTATTTTTTTGTCATTGTATTCTTGGTTTTTGAGTTTATTTATATTCCAAGTAATCTTATGCTATTTTTTTTAAATTATAATTTTACTAAAGACTTTTTTACATATTTTTGTTTAATATCTATTATAAGCCATGATGTTTTGTTGTCCACATTTTATTTCTATTTATTATTCTTCTTTCGAAGAATTCTTCGGGCTTCCGGGAAAAATCTTCTTCTTGGAAGCCCTCTATATTTTTCTTAAGTTCTCCTAATATTCAAAAATTCAATATCCTATTAGGAATATACCAAAAATTTCTTTATTGCAGGTAGCAACAATTTCAAATAAATTACTTAAAATACAAAACTCAATAGGTTTATTGTTTTAGTAGTCACTACACTTTTTAGCTTTCTTTTTAAAAAATTATGCATGCGTTGATCTAAACTAAGTCTGTAGTAAGAAATGAGAAGTCTGCCTTTTGTATTTTTTTTTATAAAAATGTAATTCATCTCAATTAAGCTCCACTGTATTCACTAAACCCTTCTTAGCAGCACAATCTAATTATACTTATTAAACTAATCAAGATAGAAAGGAAGGTAGAAAAAGTTTAAGTGAGTAGTAATTACAACCTAATTTAAATAAATGTTTTTTT